TATAATACAGAGTTTTTATTCATATAACGAAACATCTCCAGATGTCTCCTTTTTATTTCAATGATTTTTTTTTTGTTTGTCAAGAGATACTAAAAAAGATTTGAGTTCCTATTGAACTTTTAATATGAATAAAATTATTCATTAACGATGTTACTTCGAAAAATTAAAACATATATATATCTCAATATAATGAATTTTCTTCGAGCTAAATTTTTTTATGTTACATATATGTTAAGTTACTCTAGATATTCTTGAAAAAAATAGCGTTAATGATATGATGGAATATGAATATACAAATGAAAAAATGCTCTGATAATCGAATGAGAAGTACAATACAAATTATGCTTTCGAAATCTGTAGATGATGGTTAGACAAAAATTTTTGTTTTAGAACTTGAGACAAAACTCAATATAAGCTAATACGTAGTAAAGACATGCATTGTAGTCACTTCGATATCTTGCTCATAGAACAGATATAATAACTAAAAGTTTCTTGTCATTATTGTGATATTACTCTCTGATGTATTTCGTGTAAAAGAAAACTCGAAATTGTATTAGTTTGTAAGACAATTGTCAAAGAATAAAATTTTTATGGAAGATTTAGATCACTGATATCCATAGGCATTGATATGGACTAGTCCACCTCCGCCTACTTTTTATCTTGTGTCTGCAAAACTGTCTACCTTTCTAATTAATGACTCAAAAAGAATGAGATACTTTTACTTTATTTTTTTTTGAGGAACGGCAATATATTCAACAGCTCTATTTTAAGCTCACTCGATAGAGAATTTTTCGCTCTACAAAATTGTCTAATTGGAATTTCGGAAGGAATATTGTTCACAAAAAAAAAGTGAAAACACCAAACTGGCGTATGCCATTATTCTTTTTTACTTCTTTTGAAAACATGATCTTCCAAAAAATTCCGGCAGATGTTAATTTCGAGCCTTTTTCTTCTGAACAAGAGCACTAGGAGCAAGGACACAGCACAAAATCGATAGATGTCTACGGAAAATAGGAAACCGCACTTGGATAATCGAGTAGGGTTTCCTCTTTTCAATTTTTCGCGGACAAGAAAAATAAGTTAGATAGTGAAAAGTTCTCTATCGAATGCGCTTACAAGGGAACATATGCAAGTGATAAATCGTTTTACAGCTGAAACCTAGTGGACACAATACTGAATGTGAATATGAGCTCGAGGCTCTGGAAAACTTTTTCTCCCAAAATATTATTTTTATCTGTTCAGATTGTTGGATGCATTGAATTGTGTATAAATACTGATTTTCACTTTTAGTATAACTAAAAATCATCATCTCTAATTTTGCTATATTTTTTGCATAAGTAAATATATCGACATAGGCACAGATTTTCAAGCTCCGTATACAACCACAATATCTTGACTTTAAGAATGTGATATGAACGAGGAAAAGTTCTCCTATTGAGATACAAATCTTCGTATTGTCTGATAAATGAAAGACGTTTGTTGTGTATTAACCTAAAATTTGTCAAGTTCTGACGTAACACAAGGTGCACACCTAAAGCTAGTGCGAAAGTGGATTCTATGTTTTTTTTAATATTGATTCGGCATCTATTTACAATGGAAAAAAACAAAACAAGTGTCCCACTTTTTTTGAGCTATTCATTATTATTCCTATTCTAATTCGGTAGTTCATGTTTAATACACCAACTATTCAGTCTCAACGTAAAAAAACTTTTATTTGTAAATCAAACAACACAATTTCTATCTGATAGATTTATAAAAAAGTAAAAATTATCAATATTACTAAACTTATTAAAATTAACCATATATATTTATAATTATTTTGATTTGTTGTCTTTCTATATCCATGTTCATCAAACCATTGAATACATTTTTGCATAGCTTCATCTGGACTAACTTTAACATGATAACCTAATAGATTTTTTGCTTTTGTTATATTTGCATAATGTGTAACACCAACTTTTAATACTTCAGCACGTGTAAGAAATGGAGAAAAATTATAAATATATTTAGAAAAAAAATTATGTATAATTTCAATTAAATAACCAAAATAAAACATAATAATAGTTGGTATATAAAATAAAAAACAATAATCATAACCTAATCCTTTTGTTAATTGTGATAGAAATTGAAAATTATTAATTGGTTTATCATCAGATATAAAATAAACTTCACCAGAATATTTAGGTAAAGATTTTTCAGCTAATATTAATGCATATACTAAATTATCAGCATAAATCCAATCACATAATATATTTTTATGACCAATAGCAAAAAATGCTAAACCTTGACGTACTAAATTTAATAAACGTGGTAAATGTCGTTGTTCACCATCACCATAAATAGCTGCTGGTCGTATAACAACTGTTGAAAGTTTTGATGAAGAAATTTTTAAAATCATTTGTTCAGCTAAAGATTTTGTACGACTATAATTATCATAATATTTATCTTGTGTTGGATATGAACAATCTTTTTCAGTTACATTTAATAATTCTTTTTTTCCTGTATATACAGCATTATATGTTGAACAATAAATTATTTTATTAATATTATGTTGAATACATGCATTTATTATATTTTCAGTACCAATTATATTGACTTCATATATCATTGATTTATTTAACATTTCTCTACCTGACATACCATAACTAGCTAAATGAAATACACATGTAACATTAAATAAAGCATTATAAACAGATTTATAAGAACGTATATCACAATAACGATAAATTAAACGATTTAAATCTAAATTATATGATCGGTTATCATTCGATGGAGGATGAATATCAAGTAAAAATACAATATTTGAATGATTTATTTCAAGTAAATAATGAGCAAGACGTAAACCAATATAACCACATCCACCTGTAATAGCAAAATATGATGCAGTCATGTGTTTGATGATATGATGAATAATAATATAAGACGATGGCGTGTTCTATCTTTCTAACGAACAAGAAAAAGAAAATATTATGTTTTTATTTTCGTTCTATCTATTTTCTTGATGTCATGCAAAATATAATCATATTTTTGTATTTAAGATAACTTGTCAAATGACTCTAATGCATTTATCTTTTTATTTAAATATTTCGATGATTATCTTTGCCTCGGTTTTCGTTGACACAACATGCAAGGCCTGTCAACAACTCAAACGAAGTATGTAACTAATGATGTTTCTATTATCACTTTTTCTTTTTGTGTTGTCAAGTTAGACATAAATCAGTTTATCTTCTTATATAACTAAGCTGGATCATTATATGATATAATTAAACTCTATCCGTTTAAAACAAATTAATATATGAAACATATTATTTTAATGATCATAAATAATAATTATATTATTCAAGATTAATTTTTCATCAATGGTTTGTTATATTTGTTTATATGTAGGTCAATGCATCTATTGTATGAAATCATTGTATTTTTTTCTTGATTAAGAACTTGAATATAGTCGACAATTGATTCAACTCTATTATTATGTATTTATAATTAGATAAAGAATGAAATTTCTACTGAAAACTTGTGAAGAGAAGAATTAATTTTTTTTGTTCTTGTTTGTCTTGTCAATTCGATTAGATTCTATTGATTATAATTCGTATTTTTTACGAAAAGTTTAGTAATAACAACAATCATTTGTTTCTCTTTACTTGTGTAAATGAATAATCATTGCATATCGAAACTGAATCATTTCGATTAGATAAGTATCTGTCAAAACAAAAACAAAAAAATTCGTTTCTTTTTTTATCATGTCAATATCATTGCGTTATATAAATCATTATTATTGTATCGTATTTTTTACAATGTCTCTTCTATGATGTTATTTAGTACAATCGTTCTTTTTTCTATTTCAGAAGTTAAATCGATTTTTCGAGCTCTTTCATGCGTTTATATATATATATATATATATTAGTACTTAATTTCTCTCAAAATGTAGCTTATATTTCAAGGTCAATCTGGACTCAATATCACTTCTTTCTACTCTAAATTCGCGGTCTTAGGTAAAAAAAAAAACAACTATTCTTTTCATTTAATTCAAAATTCATTGTATAATTCATAAAAAAGAAACATGTTTTAAAAATATTCTAGTTGTTATAACGAGAAAATCAAAAAAAAAAATATATATACATGTATAATGTTGTTCCTCTTCAAAATTACACGAAGTGTAGTTTGATTACTTTGAAATTTAGGTGTAGTCTTTTTTAATGAAGTATATAATTAATTTTTATCGAAGGTAAGACATGTGATTTTTTACTATTATTTATCTACTATAAGTAAGTTTTAAAGCACAAAGAAAATGCTATTTAATGCAAATAAACTAAGAAATATGATCTGTATTTTGTTGAAAATCATCTTTAATGCATCGAGTTTCTTTTGAAATATTAGAAGAGTCAAGTTATTGTTCGGCTTTACAATCAATTGTGATCGGCAATATGTATATATACTCTTATCGTTATAGAAATTCTGGTTACTTTGATGAATATGACTGCGACATCTACGATTACACATATTTCGTCATAATTGGCATCGAGCCATCACATTCCATCATAAAACTCATAACTCAATGAAAGAAAGAAGAAGAAAAAAAAGGAAAAATCCCCGTTTTTTTAATGTCTACTCTACGTGCGTGTTGGTCTGCCTCTTTCTTTCTTTCCGTTCTGTCTATGAATGAAAGAAGAAATGATTAAAACTAACACATCTATGCATTCTAATGCATAAAATTGACTATGAAGGCTCATTAACAAAGGAAACAATAGGGCGATGATTCTTTGTTTCAGACATTTTGTTGATTTTTCTTTGGTGAATAATAACAATATCTGTCATTTATATGATTCTTAATAATATTTCTAATAATATAATATATAAAAAAAAAAAAAGAAAAAAATTCTTTAAGAAAAATTGTTTATTCTTTTAGATGAAGCCAAACGATTATAATTCATTATTATCGGCTCATCATTCATTGTCTTTTTCTATTGAAAACTAATTACTCTCTATTATATTACATCATGAAGGTGATTGATTTTTCAATATATATATATATAAACTTATTTTAACATTATGTTCTTCTTATAATTTCATAGACAACAAATACAATTCCTATAAAAGTACCACATATCTCAGCATCAAAACGTGGCCGTCAAACAAATCAATTACAATTCATGTCAAAAGTTTTATTTAAAACTTTATGGAAACATGAATTTTCTTGGCCATTTAAAAAACCAGTTAATGCTAATAAATTACATTTACCTGTATAATCTTTAATATTAAAATTATTTCAAAAAAAAAAAGTCTTTTTTTTTTCTCATTAGGATTATCATAAAATCGTCAAATATCCAATGGATCTTGGTACAATTAAAAAACGTCTCGAATCTAATTATTATTATAGTGCTAAAGAATGTATAACAGATTTAAATATGATGTTTACTGATTGTTATTTATATAATAAACCAGGCGAAGTAATTAAACAAGATACACATAAACAAAAAAATAAACAAATTTCCTTTTTATTTTACAAGGATGTTGTAATTATGGGTGCAACACTTGAAAAAGCTTTTTATGAAAAATTAGCTGAAATGCCGTCAGATGTAAGATTGATATTTTAAAATATTTATGTTTAATTAAATAAATAAATATATATAGGAAATTGAAATTGTACCTCATGCATCGAAAACAACAGCTTCAAAAGGTCTTGGACAAGGAAATTTATCAGTATCAATTATTTCACCATCAACACCAAGTGAAAATTTAAATTCTCCATGTATGTAGAATATAAGTTAGAAAAAATTTCGAAATAGAAATTTATTTTGTAATTACATCATTTATAGGAAATACATTTGTATTCTATTTCATAGATAAGCAAAAGAAAAACAAAAATTATTTACATATTTGTTAACGAAAATTTTTTTTTTTTTTTCTTTTTTCATAAGTTATAATCATTAATAGATTTAGTATAATTAAAATATGATTACACTGAATAAGGTTATGACTTGTGACAAATGATTATGAATAGATTTATTGAAACGTGTTGTGTTAAAATAACCTTTTGGAAAGTAAATTTAATTTCGAAGGTATTATGAGAACAGATTGATAATTTCAAATTAGGAAATATTATAATTTTTTTTTGTTTTTTCGATATTTGGTTTTTCATTGAGAATGCAAATTCAGAAAGGAGAGAATTTCTTAAGAACAGTTCGAACAAAAGTTGTCATAGGTACAAAATTCCCAAATGCTTGCTTCTATAAAAATAACTTGAAGCTTCACCTGAAAATTTTCTTTGAAAAATATTGTTGTTTTTTGCTTAGAGCAGATTTTGTAAGATTTGCTGAATATTATTTTAAGAAAAAAAAATATGCAGATACAATCCGATTTGATTCTAGTTGCTACACAAAACAAAAATTCTGTCAAAGTATCTGAAAAAAAAACTTTAAAAATTAATGAGTTTTTTAACTTTTAAAAACAATTTTTGAATATTCAGTAGGGTAGATACTACTTCAGACTATACAATAGGGAGCTCTTCTTATTGTTTTATCGTTTCTAGTTCTCGAAGAAAGTACAAATTGAGATTAAAATTATTTTCAAGAGAGTTTTTGGTATGTCGAAAAAAATAAAGTTTTATGGAAATGACAATGTACGCGGATGTAGCTTTTAGTAAAAATTTCAGTTTGATTGGTTATACGATCTTCAAAAACCCAGAAATGGTTGAAGAAATTTTCTATATATATTAATTGTAAAAATAGTATTTTATATTTGTTCAATTAACATTCATAATAATAAAATTTCGATAAGAATACATACCTGATAATTGGAATTTTTTAAATACAATTCAATGCATCTTCTTTCTAAAGGTGTAAAAGTCGTGACTTACTATCTTTTGTAAAAAAAAGATGCTTAAATATTATCATAACAAACAGTTCTTATCAAAATTTTCCTCGACCTTTCTTTACAATATTGAAGTACCTTTGTCACTAGTTTTTATAAGTAATTAAATATGTCGTTTTTTTTTTGTCTAGAAGGGTAGAAAATTGACGATATAATTATCAAAAACAAAAGTCAATCATAGTTCATTTGGCAATTGAGGAGGATCGTTAAGCTATGCAATATTTCTCTGAACATTTTTGTATGAAAACTCTTTCTTTTAGATGATATAATTCGCTGAATATACTAGTCTGTGTCATAAAATTCTGGGATAATTTTTATTTTCATCCAAAAATTCAGCTGTAGTCTTCCCCTCGAGATTCACTGTGGGAAAAGCCAAACTGTTTTTATTTTTCGATGTTCCTGATTCCAAAGCTCGCCAAAAGGGAAACTATGTTATCTAATAGACAGGATTATCAGGAATGAAGGACGACGATTCAGAAGTCTAATTCGAATAGCTATTGAT